TTTAGGAGCGCGATCGAAATGGGTTTTGGAGCTGTAGAGAAGATTTAGGCTTGAATTGGCGAAGTTAATAGTTTGGCGATTTCTGGTTGATAGGCGAGATTTTGATATAGGGGTCGGAAAGGAATTTCGAGAGTTGCAGTAGCTTCGTTGTGTCATTTGGGATGTGTGTACAAAATTTCAGGTCATTCGGGTGAGATTTGATAGACTTTTGATCGAAAGCATAATTTAAAAGTTCTTGGAGTTCTTAGGCTTGAATCCCATGTTAAATTGGTGATTTGATGTTGTTGTGAGCGTCCCGAGGTTTTGAACAAGTTTGAACGATGTCATGGGATGTGTTGGTACAATTGGTTTGAAGTCCCGGGGATTCGGGCGAGTTCCGGGTAGGTTCCGGGATGCTTTAGGCCAAAAATCATAGTTGTAGCAGGTCCAGAAGGGCTGCATACCTCAGAACTCACCAGCGTGGTCCTCACAAAATGAAGTGCGTCCGTGGTGAGTGTTGTGCGGACCGCACGAAAATGGTGTGCGGCCGCGGTAGGTGCAGTGCGAACCGCACAAAATGGTGTGCGGCCGCGGTGAAGAACATTCCACTGGTCCTACTTCGGAAGTTCATATCTTTTAATTTACAGGGATTTTTGAGATGATTCAAAAACTAAAGTTGTAGCCCTTCGTGTCTAGTTTCCATAAAGGTAAAGATATTGGAATTTGGACATCTGTAGCCAAAGTTATGGCCAATATACTAAAGCCTGTCACTGCAGAGGAAAGCCTGTGCGGCCATAGTCGTTTTTGTGCGGACCGCACTGGTTTTATGCGGACCGCGGTTGATTTTGTGATGCCCGCGGAGGTGGAAATCTGTGGGGTACTCTATAAATATGAGGTTTTGGGTTTTATTTGATATTTTGACCTAGAGAGCTCGGATTTTGACGATTTTTTGAAAGTTTTTCAAGAAATTCATCGGGGTAAGTGATTCTTACTCAGATTTGGCTAGAGTACATGAATCTATCATTGAATTCATCATTAATTCGTGATTTGGGATGAAATTTGGGAAGAAAATTGTGAAATCTTTCAAAAATATAAAATGATGATTTGACGGACCAAATGGTATCGGAATTGGATAATTTTCGTATGGATAGACTCGTGAGAGTATAAGGATTCTAGTTTTGTGAATTTTGTCAAATTCCAAGATGTGGACCCGGGGGTCGGGTTTGACCAATTTCTGGAATTTTGTGGTAATTCGATTGTTTTCGCTTGGGCTTTGTTCCCTTAGCCTAATGTGACGTATTCGCTTAGATTTTGGATAGATTCGACGCGCGTGGAGGCCAATTCGAGCGGCAAAGGCGTCGCGAGCTAGAGAATTAGCCGATTCGAGGTGAGTAATGATTGTAAATGATGTCCTGAGGGTTTGAAACCCCGGATTGCACATCATAGTGCTATATTGAGGTGAGACACGCGCTTGATGATGAGCGTGGGGTCGTTTACTATTGGGGATTGTGATTTGGTCCGTCCCGATTGATGTTTTTACCGTGTATTTGATTGAAACTTGTTTGTTATCATAATGGTTTGGGCTGATTGCCATATTTGGGCTTCGTGCCAACTATTTGAACCCTCCGGGGTTTTTTATCACTATTTCCTCACTGTTTTGATTTATTACTTGAACTTAGTCCTGTGGTTTCCTACTGTTTTACAACTCAGCCACTTTTACTTAGTTTTGAGACTTAAATGATATTTCTAAATGATGTTTTGGGCTGAGAACTACTGTTTTACTAATGCCCGAGGGGCTTGTGATAATTTTTTTGGACTGAGTGCGACCGAGGGCCAGATGTGAGGATACACTGAGTGATATGAGGCCGAGGGCCTGAGATACATTTATACGCCACGAGGTGGCTTGAGTGATGTGAGGTCGAGAGCCGAGAGTTGATGCCACGAGATGACTTGATATTGCGCTTGGGCCGTAAGGGGCCCCTCCGGAGTCTGCACACCCCCAGTGAGCGCGGGTACCCATTGTAATCTGAGAGTGAGCCCGAGGGGCTGATACTGTTCTGAGAGTGAGCCCGAAGGGCTGGTACTATTCTGAGTTGTTGCCCAAGGGGCGGATCTCTATTTGTTAATTACCTGCCAAATTACTTGTTTTACTGGTTGAAAAAGGAAGTTTACTTGATATTTCACTGATTTACTGTTTTAAGTGATTTTACTGCTTTGGTATAGATTGTTTTGTATTTTCACGTGGTTTCTTGCGTTCAGCCATTATTACATTTATTACTCACTGAGTTTGAATACTCACTTTATTCCCTGCACCCATGTGTGCAGATTCAGGCGCAGTAGGTCCCACTCCTGAGTGCAGATCCCTCCAGTCTAGGCGGTGTTTCGGAGACTACGAGGTAGCTGTTGGTGTCCGCAGCCCCCGTGTCTCCCTTATCTTATTACTTTTATATTCTTCAAACAGTTGTACCAGATATTGTATTTAGTAGACTTGTATCAGGATCCTTAGTTGCTCATGACTTGTGACACCCCGGTTTGGGTTGTGTCGGGATGGTTTCTTCTATTGTTATCTATATTTTCGCGAATTATTGTTATTAAATCATGCTTTAAACTGTTTTATGGTATTTAACTGCTTAAAGAAGTATACTATGTTGGACTGGCTGGCCTTGTCTTCACGAGAGGCGCCATCACGATCGGATTCGGCGTTAGGGTCGTGTGTCACACACCCCTTCTTTCACCCCCTACCCAAAACCCCAATCTAACAGAAATCATAGAATCCACGCTCCCATCCCAACCCCTCACCGCCGACCACGAACGACAAACCCTACCTCTACTTAACTGAAAAGAGCTGCGTAAGAAAGATGAAAATTGGTGGACCTCTGGTTACTGAAAAACAACTGATTTTGGAGTTTCGTTGACGGTAAAAATGGAGTTCAGGATGACGTAAACGAAGGAGGAGGAGATGGTGGCTGTTTGAGGTAGTTTCAACGGGTGGAGCTCTTGTGGTAGCTGTTGCGTAAACAGTCTAGCAGCTAACTTCCTAGCAAAAACCACACTCCTAACATCCCGGCTACATTTCCAATCAAGCTCCGACGGCGACTTTTCTTTCATCATACAAGCATTGCGATGAATATGCTCGTTAGACTTCCACTAGAGAAGAGGAGTTTCAGTCTTGCTCCTTGCTCCTCCAATATCTCTCCGCAACTTCATTGAGGGGGTGGGGAAATTGTTCGTCTTCCGGCGAGGCAGTTTACGAGTATTTTTAGGCAGTTTGTGAAAAAGATCTAGTTCGGAGAATGTAATCGCTGGGAGCTCAGTGTTGTTGATGGTGTTCTTCATCTTTGATGCACAAATACAACCCCTTTCTCTGTCTGTGTGCGTGTGAGGGTAACATATGAGAGTCTTGGGGGGGGGGGGGGGGGGGTGAAAGAAGGGTTTGTGTGTGTGTTATGGTTAATAATTAGATCGGGGAGGGGTTAATTAAAATGCCAAGTGGATTTTTATTTTATTTTTAAATGAGGAAAAGCATTTTAAATTCAGGTAGGTGATTTCCGCTAGAGTTGCTCCTTTCAGGTCGAAGGGTATAGTTTGGTGAAAAAACCTGATAGAAGGAAAGCAACATCTCAATTTCACTTGAGGCTACTGGCTAGAGAAATATCTTCTAATTATAGCAGAAGCTTTTAAAATATACCAACCTTATAACAGATTTACAAGTGATGTCACCTTTTTTGTTGCACAGTCTCTGAAAACATTTCTATGAGTGCATTGCAGGTCCAATGTAAGACAGAATCTCAATACTAGTTCTTTCATGTAATTGTACTGAAAATTTGAGTATATTGGCGTGAAACTTCAGTACTAACAAACTCTATCAATTCAAATGTGAACATAAGAATTGGACATAAAAAGGGAATTAAATCTAGTTGACTATGGTTGCTACAGCTTGAGCCAGTCCAACAAAACACATTGAGATGATCATTCAATTGCAATCCATGAAGATATGACCTTAGATCCAATTCAATATCTTATTTTGGAAAACATTTAAAGTGGCTCAATACTGAACCCAAAACTGCAAACACTCATGTAGATCCAGAATAACTGAAAGAGCTTTACCTAAGAACATTATGACATTTGAAAACTAGCATCAATTAACATAAATTCCTATTTAAGTGAATATATCTCAATTTAATTGACATGCAGCAGTAGGCATTATTTTTCAAGGAAGGGGTACTAGATAACAAAATATTTAGTGCGAAACTTTCCGGAACTCCTAATATCTTACCCATTTAAAGTAATTTAATCTCAAGAGTTACAAACTATAGTGAAAATGTATGGTACTCCCTCCGTCCCAAAAAGATGATACTTTTCGGATTTCAAAAGTCAAACTTCTTAACTTTGACCATAAATTCGAACATAGAATCTTTAAGTTTTTTTTTTAAATAAAATTTATATAATTGGAAACTATATAAAAGGTACTATGTGTCACAATAACTAACAATTCAAAATATTTAAAGAAGGTATATGAAAGGTCGTGGTTAAAGAACAACTCGTTTGACTCTTGAAATTCGAAAAGTATCATCACTTTTGGGACAGCGGGAGTAATAATTAGCTGTGGCCATGTAACAAACTTTTGTCTAAAAGACACATTTTTGGCATTTAACTATTTGGTCTATATTTCAGCTGCAGGTATGTTTTCTCTTCTGCAAGAGTAGAATATTAAAAATCCACATATAATGAAAAGGATGAGAATAGAAAAGGGCAAAGATATTGATTTTCCAGATAAGAACAAGAATAACTCCTATAGTTGCAGAGCACAAGGCATTCATCATCAGTTTGAAGGTCAAGACATCAGGTAATACAACCAAAATAACCGCTCTTGCGAAAGATTATTGTTTCTTGAAAATAGTTCAATGACTAACAAGATCCCCAAGCAATATGGACCACAATTTTAACAGCACTTAAGAAAAATGGATACGCTGTAACTCTTACAAGTTAATAGAATAGTCACAGGATTGTCTTCGTCCGAGTTATTTCAGCTCCGTTGATGTTGCCTTCGTGGTCCCTTCTGTAAAAAAGGGACAAACTAGGCTCGTAACATAGATTTCTGCCTCCTCAAGACATGGAGCAAAGTTAGTAACATCTAGATATCTGGTCGAGTCATCCTTTAGATTGTATTTCGTGAAACATGATCCAAAGTGAAGCAAAACTTCACCTTCATTTGACATAAAAATGGGTGGAGTAAAAATATATTCCGTAGGACGATCAGGAAAGTTGATGGTAAACATCTTTGTCCAAGATTCTTTTACCCCATACTCCTTCATAACCCAGATATCTACATGAGTCATCCGCTCGTAATTACAAAATGCAGAAAGATCATTTCCAAACACTCCTAGCACCAAAAAATCACACCCTTTAAAATCAGAGGGCTTCTCTACCTCTGCCCATTTCTCATCAGCCAAATCAATCGAAATGATGTTCCGGTCCCTGTCAAGCCAATGGAGTTTCTGATTCACAAGCTTACCCGATACAGACAACAGCTGCCTACCCTGAAAATCATCAATATCTCTCCACGAATCAGACTTTAGACTATATATTTTGACCTTAACATGACACAATCGTCCATTTCTGTTAATAGGAAAAATACCCAATACCTTGTAATCATCTCGGAAAGCATCATATGCAAAACCAAATCTGAAACTGTAACGATGTTTGTCCAAATTGTAACGGCGGCTTACATCAAGTGTATAATTAGGCAATTTCTTATACTTTCTAATTGATGGATTCCATAGAAACAAGTTATATAATAATCTGTCAGTTGCTGCGACAGCAAGACAAAGCAATCCATTGAAAGAACCCACAATCGAAGGATAATAACCGGGGATTTTACCGGGATAATCCAAGTCAAATGCCTCAGCAACAAAATCATAAAGTAAAGCGCTAAGAGAACACTCCTTGACATAGTGTGTAGCATTACAAACATTAAACATAACTCCACGGTGGTTAGTAAATATTTTACATTTTATAAGTTTATAGGTTTGTCACCCCAAACTTATTGTTTTACACCTTATAAGTACTTTTTGGTTTGACCAACAATCTTAATATATTCTTGTATAATCCATAAAATGTCTTTTCTATTATTTTTAGGAGCGGCTAAAAATATACTCATATTTTTTTCCTATTTTAATTGGGTAATTATTAATTAGACTGAAAATAAAAATAAAAAAAATATAATACTACCCAAAAATTATTTTTCGACAACTATGATTTTTGGGTGAGTTAGTGAAAGTTTTTTATTTTTATGTGAGAAAATAAAGTTGTATGATTTTGGTGAAAAAAGTCATAGTTATATGATTTTTGTGTGAGAAAACAAAGTTATATGACTTTGGTGAAAAAAAGTCATAGTTATATGACCATTTGTGAAATTTACCATGCATGTTAACATAGCATGCCTTTAATCTGTCAATTATTCTGAACTTCTTTCCTTGTTGTTTATCTATCTTTACTTAAGTGATTATTCTGCTCTAATAATAATAGAAATACTCTTTGCTATGATTTATGAAGCTGATATGATCTTTCTCACATAAACTACGGGGCACAAAAGTACTTATACTCTTTATCTGAATGACATTTGATCTTTGTATATCTGTTGAAGCATGTGTTTGGTCTTTCAACTTTAATGATCAGGGAGTAATAACAGAGACTATAGCAGGTTTAGAATCTTCATTTTATTTAGCAACTAGGAGAAGAATTCTGAAGAAGATCCCTAATTGCATGGCAAATTGGCAACATATATCTAAGTCTGATTACCTTAGGTTTACATTAACCAAATTTGTTTGGTTCGACATTTTCGTGATTTCCTCTAAATTATCTTTTGCAGGTTTGGTTATTTGATTAAGTTAGAATACACAGTATAATAAGAGAGGCAAAGAAATATTATGATGACAAGTGGCATAATATTAAATTGACACATATAAATATTTTGGACAATTCTCCAACTTTATAGGAGCTTCTAATGCTTTTTTTCAGAATTCAAAATTTCAGATTTTTTTATTTTTAAAATAACTGATTTTACATGGCACCATTAAAGGACACGTTTTTTTCTCTCTAAAAAAGAAAATCAATTTTAGATTATTATTTACAATTTGCAAATTTAAATACTACTTTCCATAAAAAAATTCTGCAAAACCTAAAATTATCGCTCAACTGTCTAACCTCCTACGCGTCATGATTGAAACCCACGATATCCACTTCCATTATACTCGATACCCTCTACAAACTCAAAAGAGGTTGGCATAGAAAGTTGATGGATATTTTGGCCGTGATACCAATCGAGTTTGGCCGTGATTACACCATTTGTGGCTTAACATTGTTATGGATTTTGGTTGTAACTTACTGCTTTTGCAAAATATAGCTATTCGCGGTGACTTTATCAAGGATATAACAATTTTGAAAATACAATTGAAGTTGAATTTAGGTTATCCGTTTGTGTGAAGTACTAGATTGTTATAACGCAGACACTACTTTCTCGATTGAATTGGTTCTACAAGATAAAAAGGTATTAAAAATCTATTGTTGTCTTACAAAGTTATTTTTTCTTCTCCTTTTGTTAAGTTTCAAATGGGCATGCTCTGTTCTGCGTAGAATTTGTTTATTTCTATATTTATGTATTTAAGGTGTAAAAAAAATCATATCTCTCTACTGTCATTGAAGTCGTGACTGCAAAATTGCTTCAATTTATATTATTAGTCATGCCTCAGACACCTTGAGGATAAACTGGGGGAAAAGGATTATTTATGATTTAGATATTTTTGTTTCCATCATGTTTTAGTTAATTATAACCGAGAGTCATTGATATCTTATATGAAGCTTATGAATTTTATGGAAGCCACTAATCATATTTGATGGTAATTCTAACCCTGTCATGACTTATGTAAAGCAACAAAAACTCTTTCTTTATCATATTGTGATATTACCTAATAGAGCATCTTCGTTTCCTATGCTGTGAACAATATAAACAATTGACAAGTTTGACAAAGGAATGATTATATGATACCTTTAAACTCACAATTTCCTTTCTTCTTTTCTCATTAATTGAACTTAAAAATTCACCAAGTATGTTGTCTAAAGTTGAACAATTTTTGTATCTTGCTCTATGGACCTTCTTTGTGGAATGCGTCTTCAGAGAGATTGTGTGTAACGATCCGGCCAGTTGTTTTAAATATTACAGTCCATTTTCCCTCATTTACTGCTAAATTCATGCTTTACAACTATTATATAACTCGTCGGGGTAATTGGTTTGGGTCCGGTGAGGTTTTGAAATGAATTGAGACACTTAGTCTTCAAGAAGAGAGCTTAAGTTGAATAAATTGACCGGAAGGTGAAATATGTGTAAATGACCCCGGAATGGATTTTTGATGATTCCAATAGATCCGTATGGTGATTTCGGGCTTAGGAGTGTGTCCGGATATTTATTACGAGGTCCGTAGCTAAAATAGGATTGAAATGGCAAAAATAAGAAATTTAAGTTTGGAAGTTTGACCAGGGGGTTGACATTTGATATCGGGGTCGGAATCCAGTTCTAAAATTTTTTTATAGCTTTGTTATTTCATTTATGACTTGTGTGCAAAATTTGAAGTCATTCCGGATTGATTTGATATGTTTCGGCGCAAATGTAGAAGTTGGAAGATTCGAAAATTCATAATTCAATTCGATGCGCGATTCGTAATTTCGGTGTTGTTTGACGTGGTTTGAAGCCTTGATTAAGTTCGTATTGTATTTTGGGACATGTTGGTATAATTGGTTAAGGTCCCGAGGGCCTCGGGTGGATTTCGAAAGGATAACGGAATGGAAATTAGACAAAAAGGGTTGCTGGAATTTTCTGCTGCAGAAGCTGTATTGGACAGCAACTGTACAATCGTGAAGCCTATTTCAGAAGCTTATATCTCAAAATACATAAGGAATTTGTAAATTTACAAAACATGAAAGTTATAGCCCTTACATCCTAGTTTCCGGTAAGCTAAACCATTAATTAATTTGATATTTGTATAGAAAGTTATAATCGACAGAATAAGGGTTGGTAATGCTGTTTTGAAATTTTCCAGAAATGTTTGATGCGAGGAGGCTATTTTGGAAGCTTATATCTCGAAATACATAAGGAATCTAAAAATTTTCAAAACATGAAAGTTATAGCCCTTGCATCCACATTTCCAGAAATCTAAACCATTAACTATTTGAATATTTGTACAGAAAGTTATTATCAATTGAATAAGGATTGGGAAAGCTGTTTTGAAATTTTCCAGAAATGTTTGATGCAAAGAGGCTACTTTGGAAGCTTATATCTCGAAATCCATAAGGAATCTAAAAATTTGCAAAACATGTAAGTTATAGACCTTGCATTCTAGTTTCCGGAAAGTTAAACCATTTATCATTTCAAGATTTGTAAAGAAAGTTATGACAGATTTAGTGAAGGCCAGGACCGCCTTTTGTTTTCGCTGGAAATAAGTGCAAGTCGCATTTCATAGATGCGACTTGCCTGGAAAACAACTTATATTCGGGAATTAGCTATTTGTATTCGATTTTGACAATTGTAAAGCTCGGGAAAAGCGATTTTTAACAGATTTTTCAGGGGAAACATTTGGGGCAAGTGTTCTATATCCGAAAGTGATTATATTTCATAAATACATGGTTATATTCATCGTTTAATTCGGATTTAAATGGAAGAAATTGGAATTTTTGCAAAACTTTTCAAAAACGAAAACTTAAGATTTAGAGGTCGAGTTGTTGTCGGAATTTGATAATTTTGGTATGGTTGAACTCGTATCGGAATGGGTTGCTGGATTTATGAGTTTCGTCGGATTCCGAGACGTGGGCCCCACGGGCTAATTTTGAGTGCAATTTCTGATTTTTAATGGAAAATGTAGAATTTCCTAGGGAATTAATTCCTATAAATGGTATTGATTGAATTGAATTGAATTGTTTGTGGCTAGATTCGAGGTATTCGGAGGCCGATTTGAGAGGCAAAGGCATTGCGGAGTTAGATTTTGCTCGGATTGAGGTAAGTAACGGTTATAAATCAGGTCCTGAGGGTATGAAACCCGAGATATTATGTCGTATGACTATTTTTTAAGGTGACTCACATGCTAGGTGACGGGCGTACACCGTAGGGATTGTGACTTAGTCCGTCCCGCAAGACTGTGGAATCAATTGGCCTACTGTTTAATATATGTTCCCTCTGTTTTCATGGAAATTGATTGTACTTCATGTTATAAATCATGTTTAGGCCTTATGTGATCACTGTTGAGACCTGCGAGGTCGTGTACTTACTGAATTAGCTGCTAATTGTTATTTTGTACTCAGTAATAGCTTTTCTTGCTTATTATGCCTCCGTCTCTTGTTGTTCATTGTTGATACATGACATTACTTATGTTTGGGCTGTTTATATAATTTTTGAGAGCTCGAGAGATTGGAGAGATTTATGACTGTGTGAGGCCGAGGGACTGATCTACGAGAATATTTATGGGATCGGACTGCACGCCGCAGCATTTGTTACTTATTAATGATTGAGTAAGGCCGAAGGCCTGAGTGATTTATGCCACGAGGTGGCTTGTTATAGTGCTTGGGCTGAAGGAGCCCCTCCGGAATCTGTACATACCCCCAGTAAGCACAGGTACCTACTGAGTGCGAGTGTTGAGTGCGAGTGTTGAGTGCGAGTGTTGAGTGCTGAGCGACTGGGAGGAATGAGTGAATGTGAGGAATGAATGATTGTGAGGTTGGAGTGAATGGGAGGACAGAGTGACTGTTACTCTGAGAGAAAGCATTGGCTGCATTATTGTTGCATCGTAGATGTCATATCACTGTTTTGAAAATTATTGGAAGATAATATTTACTGCTCAGTCAAATTTGATATCAGGCTTAGTGAGTACGTACTGATGTGACATAAACTGTTAAATTGAAAGTATGACTACTCTTATTTGAAAGTTATTGAGAT